TTGTAACTTATTTCTTTAGTATTAAGTACAGAAGTATAAAATGTAAAGATTTTACTTTTTATAACATTAAAGTTGCTATCTTTAACATGACTTAATCTAATGATTCATTTGTAATATTTTGTCTTTTCTCCTCTTTTAAAAAAAATCAGAGTTTTTTATAACTAAGAAAGAATTGGATATTTATTTATTTCACTCAATATAAACTAAATGTCCTTGCCTTGTTTTTAGAAGTGGGAGCTTAATCCATGTATACTATTATAACCAATATACTTAGTTGTATGCTTTTGCTTTCTTGTTAGTTCCTTTATCTTTTCTTTATTTCTCAATTGATTATTATTTTAATACTTTTACATTTGATAGTAATTAATAGACTTATTTATATTATCTAAATTTTAGTACTGGTTAACTTCAGGATTATCAAATTCTTACTTAAAATTCTTAACTATTGAGGACACAACAGGATAACTTCTGATTTTATGATCCCATAGAAACTTTGCACAAATTCCTTATCCTGCCCTAGTTTCCAGAATTTAACTTTTAGCTTTTTGGTACAACTTTTTGCTATATTTGAAAGTACAACATATTATTCTTTTCTTAAGAAAATGTTTTTTTCTATTCAACTTTGTAGTTTTGTTTGTGGTATTTTTTCCCTGTTAGCTCATTTTGACATGTCAGCTTTTTCATTAAGTTCTCAAGTTAGATTCTGTGTCTCTCATCTGAAATACCTTTTAAAACCTAAGGATGCCACAGATGCCACCCAATTTATTAAACTTTCCTCATCAGTGGAGAGTTATTTAAAAAAAAAAACAAAACTTTTATGAGATTAAATACTTGCTACTTTAACGTTAGTGAACACATATTATACAATTTGTTTGACTGAAAGAAGATTTCTGTGCTTATTGACATATTTTAAAAGCCTGTATAGAGTTCATTTAGATCTCTACAGCAGAACTCAGCAGTCTAAGATAGAATATATGCTGCTTTGAGGAACCAAAACTATGATGCGCGTTCTTCTGAACTACACTGCATAATTTGGATGCTCTACTGCATTGCACTGCATAATTCACATCATTCTTCTAGAGTTCCAGCATAGATATCTTCTCTAAGTACTTTATCCTCCTGTAAATTTTATTTGAAAGGTTAATGACACCTGCTGAGCATCTTCTTGGAACTCAGCAAGAATGGCTGAATGGCATAGCCTGGCTCACAAACCTTGGCAGATGTGCACACAATTGCCCTACCTTCACTCAATCTAGGGAGATGAGACTTTGTTCTGTTTTCATTAGCAGTGATAAAACCATGCATTCTTATTTTCCTAATTAGCCATTACTGACAGTTAAATCTGTAATGAGATCACAATTTCAAAATTTGGAGAATGTATTATTGACAGTGAAATCTAATGAAAAACAAATGACTCCTTATATTTTATAAAAAATGTTATAGTTACGGCCATCATGCCAGACACTAGTGTCCTTTCATTTCTTCTGTTTTGTTTTAACTATTATGTCTAAAACACATAATAATCTGATGGGAAGAAACTTCTGAAACTAAGAGAGTGAATTACAGTAATTTGACATACTGAAGTATTTACAGGCTGATAGTAAGAAATCTCATTGCATCAGTTAGAGCAAAAGATTTTTTATAACAGAGTTATAAATACTCTGGGTGCTAGGACAAGTCAATGTAAGCAGATCGATTTTTCTTAGGTCTTTAAATGTTTAAGCCAGCACCTGGCCTTTGTAATGTATCTTGGTTGTAGGGAATAGCTGAGAATTTCAGATGAAGGATTACAATTTCTGAGTTAGTTATGCTACCTCAAATGATCCATTGGAAGTGGCTGAAAATGCCAGCTTTAAATGTATTCATGGGATTAGGAATGAATACTGCTTTTGCCTGAAATCTTGTGGTTTAGCTTTAGTACTTACTGTAGTCAATCCATTTCTTTGAAATATTGAGCTGTCTGACAGCTTAAAATCCTAAGTTTCCTTTAAACTTGAGCCCGGCTTTGGAGGAGAAAGGGGTAGTGTGGGAGTGGATTTTATGTAAGTGTCTCAGAAGAAAATTCGCTGAAGTGCTTTTGCTGGCACTGCACAGGGAAGACTAGCAAACTGCTTCGTCTCAATCTTTCTTGGGTTTTGCCCTTAGCCTAGATCAACATTTAGTCAGATAATTGACGTCAAGGCCACTGGAGTCTCTTTTTGGGCATTGTATCATTTTCCTTCCATGAAAAAAAAACATGGAAAAGATCCAAATGCAAAGTTCACACTTTGCTAAGCCAGTTGGATATTAGCGAAAGTCTTCATACCCTTATACCCTTTATTTCCTGGATGTTTATTTTTCATCTTAGTTGGGGGACTGAGTTTTTATAAATACCTCTTCATCAAATATCACCTTATAAGATTTCTTCCTTTGTGAACGCAGTCAGGCACCACAGATGTATTAAAAATATATTCTATGGAGATACTAACATACTGGAGAAGCATTATGTCAAACACAAATAATCTAAATGGGCACTAAGAATTAAAATGATGTGAGCAGTAGTCTCTAAAACCTGGGTTTAGTCCTACACCTCATGCCCACTTCTGAATACATCACTGGTTTGATTTGTTTCTTCATCTATATACATTGGAGGTAGCTTCACCTACACCTTTGCTTAACTCAAGAAATCTGGTGGGATAAGATTTCTGACACTGCTTTTGAATTTAGAGGGCCTTCTCCATATACAGATTTTATCATCAGTACAGATATACTTGACAGTAGTCTGCTTTATACTTGAGAATATATGATAGAATGGTATGCTAACAATGACATATGTTAAAAAATATAAAAGAGCTCTTAAAAAAAAAGAAAAGAAAAAGAAAGAGTTCTTCAAAGACCATAGTGGAGGATAGCCTATCTGTGCTTCAAAAAAATCTTGACCCAAAAAGCACAGAGAGGGTGAGGATGAGCATGTCAGAGAGAGGAAAACTAATGTGAGACAGTGGAGGGCAGGAATGGACATGACATGTTTAAGAAATTGAGAGAAAGTGATGTCCATTTTAGATTAAATCCCCTTTTATTAGAAGTATAAAAATGAAAACTTGAAGAGAACGGCAATAGTCTGAACTTTTGTTCCATAGTAATGAGAAAAGGCTCATAGAGTTTGCATCTGAATTAACTGAGAATTAACAGGTTTTGCAGTAATTTAGGAGGAAACTAAGTACTTAAGGGCTCAGGAGGATACAAAGTAAAATTAGCATCACTTTGGGGGGTTCCATTAGAGAAGACTTCTGTAGAATGGGATTTTAGAAGGATATGGTAAAAGTGGATTTGTAGAGCCCTAGTCCAGGGGCCCAGTTGGTTGGAGCTTTGTCTGGTACACCAAAGGTTGTGTGTTTGATCCTGGGTCTGGACACATACCTGAGTAGAGGGTTTGATCTCTGGTGGGGACTTGTATAGGAGGGAACTGATAGGTATTTGTCACATCAGTGTTTCTCAAGAATAAAAGAGAAGTGGATTTGTAGAAAGGTTGAAAGCTAAAAGTGGGAATCTCCAGTTTGCTGATTAGATGGTATGGTCAAAAGTGCAGTTTGAACTGCAGTCTTTAAAGAAGCACATTAAAGGTACAAGAAATGCTAATCCAGTTTCCTTCTCCATTCATCTTGGTTCATCTCTCCCCTTTGCCCCAGAGGCATATGAATACCTGCAGGCAAACATTTTGCTGCCTTCTGCCTGTTCTACTCTCTTAACTTCTCTCCTGCCCAGAAATAGAGGGCTTGTGTTTTGTTTGAGACTATCCATGTTCTGGTCCTTGTACTCCTCTTAGATTTCTTCCTATTTTCTCCCCAAAGGAACTGTATTTCCAAAAAGACCCTGATCATTTCCTGGCAAGTTGCTTTCCTTATCTTTCTCCCCTCAGGAGTGTCTTCTCTTCTCTCAACCATGAGCTCAGTCCTCTTTCAAAATCCATGATTTCAAAAATCACTTTTCCTCAGAATGTCACTGGCTACTTTTTGGTTTTCACTTAGCAAGTATTTCCTTGTGTTGTTTTACTTGAATGTCTTGCACTTTCTTTTGCTAGATTAAGAACACTGTAAAGAGATTGTGTCTTGTACACTGCATCGAATTTCTTGGAATCTCTGCAAATGTGGTTGGTGATAGTATCACAGACTGTTCTTCCTTGTGTGCGTGACTAAGTTTCACATAGACTAATGGTTGCAATTCTCTGTGTGTGCCCATTTTCAGTGAAAAACCAGAGGTGCATAAGTGCATAGAAACTTCTAAAAGGCACGCTTTGTAAGATCAGAGACTTTTTTTTTTTTTTTTTTTTTTGGTATAGTGTTGTATTTCTAGGGCTCGCTACCACGCTCAGTTGTGGACTTAATACCTATTTGTTGAATGAGTGCTGGTTTAATTTACTTCAACTGTAGGTCTTAATCTGGTACTTTTAAATATCTGGCAAGAGACCTCAAGAATTGTTGTCTCAACAAACAGAATTATTGAATGTTTCCCAATGGCTAAAGGATAGCATCCAGTATCTCATCATTTTTTTCCTAGGATACAAAAACTTTGGTTTTTGTTTTGTTTTGTTGTTACTTCTTTTCAGAAGAGGAGGAAAAAATAAGGTGGCGAATTATAGTTAGTGTAATCTGGCTTTAGCTTACTCCATGTTCTGGGTCTTTTTGTTATTGACCAGATACCACATTAGAACAGAGGAGAAATCTGAGGGCAAGTTACTTTCTAAGATTTATAAACCTTTATTAAGAATGTCCAGGTATTTATTTGAGGCTTGCTCACTCTTTTATCTACAATAGCATTTCATGGTAAATGTTTTGCTTTTCCTACCCTCTGCGTTTCTTTCTGTGGCAGTTTGCCTGGCACTATTCAGAAACTGAGAAGAATGTTAAACATCAGGACCTTCAGTTATTCACTTTTGATGAGGCTTAAAGAACAGGGGTGAAGAAACAGTTGTGTGAAGAGAACACTGGCTCTTTCCTTATTTCTCTTTTCTTTGTTTTTAGCTCAAACCAGGGCAGAACAGCTGCAGGGACAGTGACAGTGAAAGCGCCAGTGGAGAATCCAAGGGCTTCCACAGGAGCAGCTCTCGGGAAAGACTCAGTGATGTAAGTACTAAAAGAATTTTCAAATAAAACCACCAGACCATACATCCCTTGAGTAAAGTCTCAGTTCCCCCAACACTCTGTCCCTTCATATCACGTGGTATATCCAAGTATTATAGCTGACCCTTTCTTTTTATTTTATAATTTTTTTTTTATTTTACCCACTTTTTATAGTTTATATGCCTCCAGTTTTTTTTCCAAATACATTTGTCTCAGCCTTCCCCCAACCACCTTACCCTGTCCCCTCCTCCTCTCCCTCCCTCAATCCTTCCCCTTTGCTTTTGTCCCTGAGACCTTGCTACACATTTCCCGACCCTCCCATTCCCTTCCTTTTCCCCGCCCCCCATCCCTCCATCCCTCTTGTCTCTGTTCGTTTCTTTTCCTTTCAGTGTTGCTGGTCTTATTTTCCTTGCATCTTTGTATTGTTGGTTACGTTCCACTTATAGGTGAGATCATATGGTATTTGTCTTTCACCCCCTGGCTTATTTCGCTTAGCATAATGCTCTCTAGTTCCATCCATGCTGTCGGAAAGTTTAGTAGTTCTTTTTCTCTTCTGCTGTGTAGTATTCCATTGTGTAAATGTCCCATAGTTTTTTGATCCAGTCATCTCCCGATGGGCATTTAGGTTGCTTCCAACACTTGGCTATTGTAAATTGTGCTGCTATGAACATTAGGGTGCATAGTTCTTTTAAATTCACGTTTTGGAATTCTTAGGGTATAGTCCCAGCCGGGGAATCACTGGATCAAAAGGCAGTTCCATTTTCAGCTTTTTGAGGAAATTCCACACTGCTTTCCACAATGGTTTCACCAGTCTGCATTCCCACCAACAGTGTACTAGGGTTCCCTTTTCTCCACACCCTCGCCAGCACCTGTTGTTTGTTGATCTGTTTATGATGGCCATTCTGACCGGTGTGAGGTGGTCTTTACCTTTTCTTGATGTACACATTGTTGAGCCGTGTGTTAGAGTGCCATTCCATTTTCTAGTTTGACCTAAAATGTGTCGTAACAAATTAGAAGGTAGGTGAGAGTATTTGTCACCTTAGAAACAGCCAGGAAGTTCAGTTCTCTTGCCAAATAAGTGGCTCATTAGTCACCCCTTCTAACAGAAATAAAATGGCGAAAAGGGATTATTACCAATCTTATTGGTGAAGACATTACGAATAGCCCATAATTAAATGATGTCATCTTCCCATTGTACCATTGCCTTTTTTTAGGGGAGAAAACCTTGTGAGGACACACCATGCTTCTTGAGGAATCTGCGCCCTCCAACCCCCTATCCACTAATAGGCCAGATTCCCCTTTACCACTCCTGGGAACTACCTGGCCAGCTTTAGAAATTTGCCTTCTTCCCTAACATGTCATATGACAGGATTCTTGAACCATCCTTGCCCCTCAGAGCAACACTTGGAAACGTTGTTGTAAAATGGATCAAGTAGGTAGAAAATTTTATTATTAATACAAATACAGGAACATTATCAGACTAAATGAGACAATACAAGTCATTGTCTCTTGTCTTCCTCTTTTGTTACGCTCCAAAGCAGTTGTCTTCATTATGGTGTATGAGATGACCTACTGTGTTAAGTATTAGTGCTTATTTATTTTTTACCTAACAAGTAAGAAATTATACTTTACTAATATCCAATTTAATAAGCAGGGAGTAATTCATGTCTATAATTTATAAACACCCTTACCTTAGGAATGTGCTCATACTTTTTTTTACAGAGAAATGTCCATAAGCATAAAAAATTGGAGACCATTGCAGCACACCGAGCCATTCCTATAAAAACCTCACATCCATTTCTCTATCAGCCAAGGTAGACAGCCTTAAGAATCAGCTACCTTCCCTACAACTCTCAGGAAAGTGTGTGAGATCTAGGTTGATATTTGATGTATGTAACATTGAATTCTTACAAGAATTAAGTTGAATAAACAAAGTATAATTATTTCTGTAGTACTCTTAATATCTTATTTATAGATAATCACCTCCCCTTCTTTTAACATTGAATAATCAGTTAACTCAGTCTTTGCTATTGGTAGGAATATGGGTGTGTAAGAATATTTATTTGTGTTTATGTGCCATTTTGTGATAGAACTATAAATTATAATAATAAAAGTATAACAATATTTCTTACCTATGTTGTTAACAATACTTAATACTTAAGTAACTGTTCTGAGATTTTGTTTTGCTTTTAATGTGAGATCTTATTGACCTGGAAATTTTTCCAGGATTAGTCAGTCATAATTTCATCATAGAGTAGATAAATGAAAGCCACATTAGGTTAGGGACAAGATTATAGTATTACAGTCATAGAGATCTTTTGACTGGTTGCCCTGAATTTATTTTCCATTAGACCAAAAAATATGGTAAAAGTTATCCCATATTCATATATAGGAATATTTAATATTGTTAAGATGTCAATACTACACAGAAAAAATTTCAGATTCAGTGCGATCACTGTGAAAATTCCAACAGTCTATTTTTGCAGAAATGGAAAAGCACACACTCAAATTAATATAGCCTGTTTTGAAGCCCCTAGCAGAAAACACAATGTTGAAAAAGAACAGTTGGGGCATTTACACTTCCAAATTTCAAAATTTACTACAAATGTACAGTGATCAAAATAGTATGGTAATAGCAATAGAATAGGCATATAGATGAATAGAATAGACTTGAAAGTCCAGAAATAATCCCATACATCTCTGCCCTTATTTTTGACATGAGTGCCTAGTTCATTCAATTGGGAAAGAATTTTCTCTTGAACAGACGGCGCTGGACAACAGTATTTCCCTATGCAAAAGAATGAAGTTGGAGACCTGTCTCACACCATGTACAAAAACTAGCTCAAAACAATGCCCCAAATATAAGAGCTAAAACCATAAAATCCTTAGAAATAAACATATGAGGAAATCTTTATGACCTTCAGTTTGGCAGTGGATTCCTAGATATGATACCAGAAACAGGAGCAACACAAAGGAAAATAGAAAAATCAGACTTCATCAAAATCTTTTGTGTATCAAAGCGTGTTACAAAGAAAGTGAAAATAAAACCTGTATATTGGGAGAAATACTTGCAAGTCATACAACTGATAGATGTGTAATATCTAGGTATGTAAAAGGGCTCGAACAACTCAACAATAACCAACAACCCAATTCAAACATGGGCAGAAGACTTGAGTAGACATTTGTGCAAAAGAAAATGAACAGTTGGCCAGTAAACATATGGAAAATGCTCTTCATCATTAGTCATTAGGGGAATGCAAATATAAATCATAATGAAATTTCACTTCATATCTACTAAGATAGCTATAATTTAAAAAAAAAAAGGAAATAGCAAGTGTTGGCTAGCATATGGAGAAACTGCAACATTTGAACATGCTAGTGGAAATGTAAAATGGTGCAACCACTGTGGAAGATAGCTAGGCAGTTCCTCAAAAAGCTAAACATAGAATTACCACATCCTCACCAATTTCACTTTTCGGTATATACTGAAACAAATTGAAAATAGGTTCTCAGATACTTACACTCCAGTTCATTTCAGCATCATTTACAAAAACCAAAGGGTGGAAGAAACACAAATGTCTATTGACAGTTGAACGTGGCATATATGGAGAATGGAATGTTATTCAGCCATAAGAAGGAATGAAGTTCTCATACATATTACAACGATGAACTTTGAAAACATAATGCTAAGCGAAAGAAGCTAAATGTAAAAAAGACAAATATTGTATGATTCCACTTATATGAGTTATCTAGAACATGCAAATTCCTAGATACAGAAAGTAGAATAGGAGTTACCAGGGACTGGTAGTATGGGTGGAGGAATTACTGCTTAATGGTTACAGGGTGTCTGTGTGGGCTGATAAAATAGTTTTACACAAATTGTGACTGAATTGTGCACTTAAAAATGGTTAAAATGTCAAACTTATGGTATATATGTGTTTTACCACAGTAGAAATAATGTTAAAAGTATGTATCAGGGTTGTAATAATCCTGCCAACCTACAAAATACTTTGAGTTCATGTTGCTTATTAATTATTAAAATTCATACTTTTGCAAAAACATTATAAAAAGAGGGAAAAGTAGAAACAGCCTTTAGTCTATAGCTAATTTTTCCCCAGTACTGACTACTCTGCCTAATTTTTGATGGTTTTACAAGGGCACTGTAGGTAGTGGGAATACTATTTCTTGCCCTCTGTGAGCTCTGGGATCATTCTTGCTCCTCCTTTTCAGTGCCTTTTCCCTTTACCTCAGGTTCTTTCCTCCCACAGATATGCTGATTTGGACTCAGGTGAAGACTAGAGTGGAGCCTCCTTCAGGTTTCATGATTCTCTAAGGCACTGTCACCTCTCCCATCTTTTGTTTTGTCTCTTCAAGCTCCCTTTGCTTTCTTTGATTATCAGCTCTGTTTTCACAACTCAGGGATGCTGTGGGCTCCCCAAGAATCATCTCCCACCAACATCTCACCCCACCCCACCCGCCTTGCCCTGACATGAAAACTCTCTCCAGGCAGTAAGCAGGGGCAATTGTGGCATCATGTCATTTTCTTCCCTTTTCTCTGAGATCACTGTCCTGCACTGACTGTTGCCCAGTTTCTAAAATCCCCTTTTTAATAAGTTTTTGTGTTTCTTTAGTAGTTTAAGCTTAAGCTACTGAAAGTGGGAAAGTATATTCGGTCCCTGTTAGTCCACCTTGCCCATTCCTGATTTTTCAGCTGACATAAAAATTCCCTGAAGTCTTCTACCATGTTTAATGATGTTTTTAGAAACTTTGGCAGTTGAAACTTTCTCTCAAGTGTAGTTAATCAAGATATGGTATTAGTTCAGCTTTTTTTTTTTTTTAAGTTGGACAAACCAAGGAGAAAGAATAAAGAATTTTAGTATAGCTGAAGGATTTGATCTATGTGTAAAGCTTAAAAACCAAATGTGCCTGGCTTTTCTAAATTACAAATTCCCAAGCCATATTGCCAGAGGGAATATTTATCTACAAGGACTTCCAGATTCTCC